TAAATTTCCTAAGGAAATTCAAAGGACCTAGAAAAGCCAAATTGACTTTGAAAAAGAACAAAGCTGGAAGACTAACACTATGTAATTTCAAGACTCTATAAAGCTATCATTATCAAGATGGTATAGCAATGAGAGATGAGAGCAATGGAATGGTATATAAAGTCTAGAAATAGACCCATGCATATATGAACAAATTATTTTTTCACGAAGTTGCAAAATCAATTCAGTGGAGAAAGAAGTCTTTTCAACAAATGGTGTCTGAACTGGATACCCATACACAAAAAAACCCTGAACTTTGATCTGTACCTCATATGATATGCAAAAATGAACACAAAAGGATCAGAGACTTAAATGTAAAACCTAGTACTATGTAACTACTAGAAGAAAATAAACATCTGATATATCATAGAAAAAACTGATAAACTGTACTTTATCAAAATTAAAAATGTCTCTCTCTTTTTTTTAAAGATTTTATTTATTTGACAGAGAGAGACACAGAGGGAGAGGGAACACAAGCAGGAGAGTGGGAGAGGGAGAAGCAGGCCTCCGTGGGGCTCGATCCCAGGACCCCGGGACCATGACCCGAGCCGAAGGCAGACGCCCAACGACTGAGCCACCCAGGCACCCCAAATTTCTGTCCTTTTTGAAAGACACTGTTAAAAGAATAAAAATTTAAGTCAGAGACTGGAGAAAGTATTTGCAAAGAATGTTTTTGACTTGTATCTAAATGACTTTTTATATATATGGTATATATATATAATGGAATACTACTCAGCATCAAAAAAGTGAAATCTTGCCATTTGCAATGATATGGATGGTACGAGAAAGTATTATGCTAAGCGAAATAAGTCATTCAGAGAAAGATAATTATATGATCTCACTCATATATGGAATTTAAGAAACAAAACAGAAGATCATGAGGAAGAGAGGAAAAAAATAAAACAAGACGAAATCAGAGAGGGAGACACACCATAAGAGACTCTTAATCATATGAAACAAACAGGATTGCTGCAGGGAAGGGGGGTGAGGGGATGGTGTAACTGGGTGATGGACATAAAAGAGGGCACACGATGTAATGAGCACTGGGTGTTATATGCAACTGATGAATCACTTAACTCTATCTCTGAAATAATACGTTATGTTAATTAATTGAATTTAAATTAAAAAAAAATTTTTTTTAAATGTTTATCTCTTGACCGTACTAAGGAAGCCACCTGCAGTACCCTCCTTATGCCAAAAGAGGGCACTAACACATCCAATGGCGAGCTCAAGGCGAAGAAAAAAGAAACTGGTACCTGTCCATCCAAGTGAGAACATCAGCAAATCTTGTTGAGTCCCTACTGATTTTTATTACTAAATTTGGGGAAAGGTCCTGGTTTGACTCTAACTTCAGCCTTTCCCCAAAATCAACTGACTGTACTCTACAAAGTATACACCTCAAAACAAGAAAAGAAAGGCTGTTGAAATGCTTATTCTGAAAAGGAATAAATATGTAAGAAATTTTAGGTTTTAGCAGTTAATCAACTTTAACTTCAAATTTAAGAATAAATCTCCAACTCAGGGCGCCTGGGTGGCTCAGTTGGTTAAGCGTCTGCCTTTGGTTCAGGTCATGATTCCAGAGTCCTGGGATCAAGTTCAGCAGGGAGTCTGCTTATCCCTCTCTCTCTGCCCCTCCTCACCACTTGTGTTCTCTCTTGCTCTCTCTCAAATAAATAAATAAAATCTTAAAAAAAAAAAAAGAATATAGCTACAACTCAAGAGTCTGTACAACTTGTTCTATATTCATTAGTTTTTCAAAATTTATAATATACATCTCTAAGAAAATTTAAATGTGAAATAACTAAAGGAAAAAAAAGCCAGGCTTTATGACAAAAGGGAAACTGTTCATTAATAAAGGGGAAACAGGCAGTTAAATTTTTTTATATGAACAATTATTTATGTAAAGAAAAATATGGGTATTTTCACAGTGATTATTTTATTTGATTACTTTTACATTAATAGCTCATAATAAATAAAGCCACTTTTTGAGTTGTAAAAAACACTGGATAATGTGTTTATATATTCAGATCCAAATTTTGTTACTGCTGAAATGGGTTAATAGTCTGCTCTGCTATAGATTTACCCTTAACTGAAGACATTCCCTTCGAAAAGGCACAGGATCACTATAGAACACAAAGCTGTTACTGTCAAAGACAGATGCACATGCCTTCGGCCATGAACGCACCTGGCAGCGGGCCAAAGAAATTTGTAGGAATCCCTTTCAAACTAGCACTCCTTAGACTGTCAAGAAAAAATAGTTTTTCGTTCATTAAAATAACCTAACATTCCCTTTGCCCTTGATTTCAGATTTATAAAACACACAAAACAGCATTGATTACCTCTCCATAACAAATAGCTAGGTGGATCTGAAAATGTCAACTTCTGAACTTAGTTACCTAGAGAATATAATCAAAGATAATAAATGCAGTGCTGAATCATGATGGAATAGACACAAAACTCTGATTTTAGTTTTCTATTCTTTTTTTCCCTTCTAGATCTGGCTGGTTCTTTGCACATGTTAGACAACTACTAAATTCTCCAATTAGGAAAAGTCTGGGGCGCCTGGGTGGCTCAGTCATTAAGCGTCTGCCTTTGGCTCAGGTCATGATCCCAGGGTCCTGGGATTGAGCCCCGCGTCTGGTTCCCTGCTCGGTGGGAAGCCTGCTTCTCCCTCTCCCACTCTCCCTGCTTGTGTTCGCTCTCCCACTGTCTCTCTATCAAATAAATAAATAAAATCTTAAAAAAAAAAAGTCTGAACTTAAGTCTGCAGAAGACATCAGACCCAATCTAAAACTGAAGAAAGCACTACTTAATTGCTAATAATGGTGAAAGCCAAACCAAATTTTGAAAGTAATTTTATGCCTTTTGCACACATTTATTTCTAATTCTACCTTCCATGCTAATCAGGTTATGGCACACTATTTCTGCTATAGTTATTGATATACTTGGACTTGAACGCTTCTTTCATGATCTGGTAAGCAATACAGGTAAGTGCTGTGGCTTCAGACTTGAACAGTACGTGACATAAAATTCTCTTCTTCTAAAAAAGCTGACAATTTCTAAAATCTTTGTCAGTAATAAGCAAAAGAAATTTTAAAAATAAAATAAAGCGTTAGGTCATACACAGACGCTTGACTTTTGAGATCTTATTCTCTCCATTTCCCTAGCAGCTCTATTATTTCCCCAGCAGAAACAATATGAATCTATTTAGTAACTGGAACAGCTTGTCTCCCCCTTCGGCTTTATCTCCCCCCAACGTATTGTAAAGCTGAAGAGTTCAGAGTGAATACCCATATAAACACTACCGACATTTTACTATAAGTCTTACTTTTATTTTTTATCATGGTAAAATACACATAAAATTTACCATCTTAGCCATTTGCAAGTATTCAATTCAGTGATGTTAAGCACATTCGCACTGCTGTGCAACCATCACCACTATCTACTGATTTTTTACTATACAGGTATCCCCTGCTTTCCAAAGGTTCACATTAAGCCACTTTGCTTTTACAAAAAAACCCTACGTTAGTGTGGTTGTGGCTTTTTTCATAAAAGCAAAAATCCTCTTTGGATTTCTTTCAGTAGGTGGAAACTGGTACTAATGTAGGTCTTTCGTAAAAGCAAGTGGCTTAATGTGAACTTTTGAAAAGGGCTGGGGATATTTTCCATTTTGGCTCATCGAGGGTTTTATAGGAACGCCCTACTTTTGGATAGTAGGGGAAACCTGTACGCAATTACATACTATCCCTCATATCTGTCCATTAGTCCATTTCATTCTTTTAAAATGTATTTCAAAGTAAATCACAAATAGGAAATCTACTTCAGCTTCAAATGAAGTGCAATGTTTATAGTTTTTCTTTTGACGTAAAATCTATATACATGGAAATACATAATACATTCACGGATTCTGAAGACATGCATACACCTATGTAACTCCACCAAAATACAGAATATTACCATCACCTCAGAAAGTTTCCTCATGTTTCTTCCTAGCCAACATCCCAAGAAGTAACAACTGCTTTCTTTTTCCTACATAATCAGTTTGCTTGTTCTATAATTTCGCCTAAATGGAATCATGCAGTATGAATTTTTTGTATTGCTTCTTTCACTTGACATAATTTCTGAGAATCATCCATATTGCTGCAAGTATCAAAAGATAACTAGCTAGGGGCGCCTGGGTGGCTCAGTTGTTAAGCGTCTGCCTTCGGCTCAGGTCGTGACCCCAGGGTCCTGGGATCGAGCCCCACATCGGGCTCCCTGCACCGCGGGGAAGCCTGCTTCTCCCTCTCCTACTCCCCCTGCTTGTGTTCCCTCTCTCACTATGTCTCTCTCTGTCAAATAATAAATAAAATCTTTAAAAAAAAAAAAAGATAACTAGCTATATCACAGGTTATCTACTCCCTTGTCGATGGACTTCACTATTTCCAGTTTTGAGTTGTGATGATTAAAACTGCTATGAACATAACAACTTAACAACAGCTGTACGAACACATTTTCATTTCTCCATAGTGGAGTTACAGAGTCACAGGGTAGCTGCAGGTTTAGTTCGGTAAGAAACTGACCAACCTTTCTCCAGAGTATTTGTACATTCTTACCAATAATTTATGAGCTTAATTTAAGTTGTTCCACAACCTCGCCAACATTATGTGTTGTCAGTCTTTAATTTCAGCCATTTAGGTGGATGTGCAGTGATACGTTTTGATTTTAATTCTGGGAAGACTCCATTGCTGAACACATTTTTACTGGATTATTGGTCACTTGTACATCTTCTTTTGTGAAATGTCAGAATCTTTTCTGCTCAGTTTATTGTGTTGTTTGTCCTTTTATTGTTGAAATATAGTTTTTAATATTTCCTAGATGCTAGTCCTTTTTCAGACATGTTTTGTAAATACTTTCTCCCAGTCAATGCTTTGCCTATCAGTAGCACCTTTTAATGAGCAGATTTTAATTTTGATGAGGTCTAATTTATCGAGTTTTAATTTTATGGCTAGTGCATTCTATGGTGTAAAAAACTTTTGCCTAAGCCCCCAATTCATGAAGATATTCTGTGCTTTCTTCTAAAAGTTTATAGTTTTAGTTTTTATATTCAGGTCTCTGATCCATTTTAAATTAATTTTTGCATATTGTGTGAAGTAGGGACTGTGGAAGGCAGAATTCTAAGATGGCTCCCAAGACTCTTGCTGACTGGTGTATAGGTCCTGTATAATACTTCCTCCTGCCCCCAAGATGAGCAGAACCTGTGAATATGATGGGACAGTAGTCACTCTTGTGTTTATATCTGTTATGTAAGATCTGGTAGTGGACTGGAGAGAGATTCTCCTGATAGCTTTGAAGAAGTAAGCTACCACGTTAGGAGAGGGCTATGAGACTATGAGCGGAGTATGATCCCCAGCCCACAGCCAGCAAGCAAGAAAATGGGAATCTGGCCCTACAACATCCAGGAATTGAACTCTGCCAGCAATCCATGAAGAGAACCCTCTGTCTTGAGATAAGATCACAATCCTGCTCACACCTGCTACTTCCAGGGTACACTTTACTTCAGCTAACCTGTGCCCAGACTTCTGATCCATGACAACTGTGAGATAACTAAAGTGTTGATTTAAGTCCCTAAATTTGTGGTAAGTTGTTTCTGAATTCTCTGTATCTTAGATCTATTTGTTGACTCCCTTGCAAGTACCACAACGTCTTTATTACTGGAGCTTTATAATGTCTTGAAGTGAGTATTCCAAGTCCTCCAACTTTGTTCTTTTTCAAAATTGCTTTGGATTTTCTAGGTTGTGTGTATTTCCATAGACATTTTAGAATGAGCCTGTCAATTTCTATAGAAAAAAAATCCTTCTGGGATTTTGAATTGAATCCACAGATGAATCTGGGTAGGACTGACATCTTAACAATAATGAGGCTTCCAATCCATAAACACAGCATAGCTTTCCTCTCAGACCATTCGTAAGCTTCTCTTTGCAGTTTTGAGTACAGAGGACTTATCTGAACATTATTTTGTTAAATTCATTCCTATCTTATGCTTTTGATGCTGTGTTTTAAAGTTCTGTTTTCTGGTCTCCCTTAGCTCTAGCGCCATCTTCTTGGAAACCTCTGCACCATGAGAACCAAGTGGAGGAAGAAGCAAATGTGCAGGCTGAGGCTTCAGAAAAGAAAACCACAAGTAAACCACTAGCATGTGCACCCATGGAAGTCACAGGAGCAGAAATAAGGAAAGCCAGAGGTCAGGGATTCTGGTACAATTTGTTGGACTGCATGCCTACTTTCTAGAGCATGATTCAATGGATCTAGAACATCCATCATCCATCCATGATCAGTCATCTGATCATGATGACCTATAAGAGACCCACCTTGCTCACACAAAAACTGTCCCTTTTGGTCCTTTGCCCAGGACTTGTGACTTTCAGGACTAATTCTGTTTTCATTTGTGGCTGAATGTAATAGGTGTACAATAAATCATCTCTTCTGCTATCTTAGCTGAGGAAAAGAAATTTTAAAAAATTTTCATTTTCTGATGATTTGCTGCTGGTACATAACAAATCAAACTGAGTTTGGTGTATTAACCTAATATCCTATAACCTTGCTAAATCCACTTATTAGTACTAGTAATTGTTTTATAAATTCCTTAGGATCTTCTGTCTAAACAATCATGTCAACTGCAAACTAAGACAGTTTTAACAAATTCTTTTCCAATCTATTCATTTCTATTTCTTGTCATAATTCAATGGTAGGACCTCCACAGTGATCTTGAATACAAATGGTGAGAATGAGCATTCCTGCCTTACCCCTAATCTCAAGGGGAAGGCGCTCAATATTTTGGCATTAAGTACGTCAGCTGAGTTTTCAATAAATGTCATGTATTAGGACTGAGATTACCTTCTATTCCTAGTTTGCTGAAAATTTTATCAGAAAAAGGATGTTAAGCATTTTCAAATGCCTTTTCTATACTGACTGAAATAATCACAGTTTTTCTATTATATTAATGTGGTGAATTACGCTAATGGATTCTGCAGTCTTAAAACAAGCTTGTATTCCTGGGACAAACTGTACTTAGCCATGGGGCATTAACCTTTAGATACAAGGCTCGATTTGATTTGCTAATATTTTGTGAAGGATTTCTCATCTTATTATGCTCATGAGGGGTATTAGTTTATAATTTTCTTTGCAAGGTCTTTGCTTTGTCCAGGTTCGGTATTACTACCGAAGTGTTCTCTCCTTTTTCCTTAAATGCTTGCAAGAGTGCCAGTAAAACTCTGGACTTGAACGTTTTTGTGTGAGAGATATGAATTTATGAGATAAATTCATTGATAATGAATTTAATAGAAATTGTGTTAGTTTCAGTAAGTTGTATTTTTCAAGGAGTTTGTTCATTTCATCTAAGTTGATAAATTTACTGGCATAAAGTTGCTCATAATATTCTATTATCCTTTTAATATCCATAGGATCTGAAGTGGTAACCCCTTTTTCATGTTTGATATTGGTATTCTGGTTCTCTTTTCTTAATGTCAAGAAATCAATTTTGTTGATCTTTTCCCCAACTGGAGCTCCAACTTACAACCCTGAGATCAAGAGCTGCATGCTCTACCAACTGAGCCAGCCAGGTGCCCTTTTTCTAAGTTCTTAAGTTGAAACCTTAGATCATTGAATACAGATATTTTTCTTTTCTAATACAAGCATTCAGAGCTATAAATTTCCCTTTTAGCATTGCATTCCAAAAGTTTGATATACTGTATTTTCACATTCAGTTTAAAACAATAAAATTTTTTGCCTGTGATTTCTTCTTTGAGCTATGCATTATGTGAAAGTAGCTTGCTTAATTTCCAAATACTTAGGAATTTTCTTAGGTATCTTATTTTTATTGTTTATAATTTCATTATGGTCTTAGAACATATTTTCTGTTTTTAATCTTTCAAATTTACTGGTTTTTTTTTTAATGGTCTAGCATATGGTAAATGTATTTCTTGTCTAATTGCAAAAGAGTGTGTATCCTGCCATTGTAGGACAGCGCTCTATAAATATTATCTAGGTCAGAGTGGTTGATTGTGGTGCTCAGTGTGTGTATGCTATGTGTGGGTGGGTCGATCAATTGCTGAGAAAGAGGTATTAAAATCTCCAATTATGATTTTAGAATTGCCTGTTTCCTTAATTCTGTCAAATTTTGCTTCATGTATTTTGCAGCTGTTACTAGGCACATACACATTTATGATGATGAAGATTTATTGAGACCTTTTATCATGACAGCACATCATTTTTCACTTCTGGTAATACCCTTTGTTGTCTCATGCTTAACTTTTGCATGGTGTTCATTTATATATTTTTTGGTATATATTTTCCCATCTGTTTAATTTTTACCTCTCAGTGTCTTTAACGTGCACCTTTTATAGTCAGGATATAGTTGGGTCTAGAAGTTTATGTAGTCTGCCACTGTATTGGTTGTAGTGTTTAGTTCTTTAACATTGATAGCCTTGACTTAAGTCTCCCCTGCCCCCTTTTTTTTAGAGAGCGAGTGTGTGTGTGAGCAGGGATGGGGACAAGGGGAAGAGGGAGACAATCTTAAGCAGGCTCCATGCTCAGTGTGGAGCCCAATGCGGGCGGGGCTCAAACTCATGACCCTGAGATCATGACCTGAGCGGAAACCAGGAGTCAGGAGCTTAACCCACTGAGCCACCCAGCACGCACTCCCTGCCCCCCAGTAAGCTCTACACCCAATGTGGGCTTGAACTCACAACCCCAAGATCAAGAGTCATATATTCTAAGGACTGAGCCAGACAGGCACCCTGAATAAATAAATCTTTAATATTGTTTCAGATATTTAGCATTTCTAATGCTCTTCCTTCCGGAAGGTCTGAGTTTCTATCTGGTATCAATTCCCTTTAATCTTTAGAACTTCCTTTAGTGTTTCATATAGTGCAGATCTTCTAGTGACAAATTCTTAATTTTCTTTCATCTAATAATGTCTTTATTTTGCCTTCATTCTTGCAGGGTATTTTTGTCCAACAAAGAAATCTGTTCAATGACTTTTTTCCCCGTTTGGCACTTTATAAGATGTTATTTCACTGTCTTCTGGCATTGTGGTTTCCAGTAAGAAGCTAGCTCTAATTATAATGGTCATTCCCTTTTATGTGTCATGGTTCTCTAGCTACTTTTCATATTTTCTCCTTATCTTTGGCTTCAGTAATTTAACTATAATACTGTGTAGGAAAGGGTTAACTCAATAGGCCTTAAATGCTCAAACCCTGCACAGGCCAAAAAAAGGTCTGTCTTTAGGACTGGACCTTGGCTGGCTCCTCGGAGATGAACTCTGAGCCCCTGAAATATTCTGGCTGAGAAGTGTTTTTGCATGCCTGAGGACTTGAGCCATGCTGCACCAATGCGATCAGGTAACCTTGCCCTAACAATATGATTTATGACAAACATCTGTTTTTGCTCCGGGGGGTCTGAGTAGCCGAGATCAGTCATGTGGGCACTGCAAGGCGTTCTGGACACCAAACACTGAGTGAGCTTTCCTTGTTGGCAACACTGCACATGCTGTCACATCACTGATAGGAAAATTAAGGGCATCCTTGTGTGACTCCACTGGACACCTGGAAGCTTGGACCTGGTTTCTCCTGGACTTTATCCCATGTGCCTTTCCCCTTTGCCAATTCTAATGTGTCCTTTTGTTGCAATAAATTGGTAACTCTAACAGTTTCTGAATCCTGAGTCCTTCTGTCTTGGGGACCCCTGACACATGTACCAAGGTATGTTTTTTCTTTGTCCTTATCCTAATAGGTGTCACTAAGCTTCTTTAGTCAGCAAATGTATTTTGCTGAGAAATTTTACTATTTTATCTTCAAATATATTCTTCTGCCTCTCATTTTCCTCTCCTTCTGAAACTTCCAATTACATGACTTAGATCTTATAATAATGTCCCAAAGGTCCCTGAGGTTCAGTAATATATTTTTCTTTCTGTTCTTCAGGATGGATAATTTTCTGTTCATCTATCAACGAGTTCAGTGACTCTTCCCTTTGTGATCTCCATTTTGCTATTAAGTCCACTTGGTGAATTTTAATTTCAGCTGCTGTACTTTACAGTTCTAGAATTTCCACTTGGCTCTTTTTTGTTGCTGTTTCTCAATTGAGATTTCCGTTCTTTTCATTCAAGTGTATTTTCCTTTATTTCATTATAATAGCTGCCTTAAAACCCGTTTCCCAATTCTAACAAATGAAGTTGTTTCTGTTGGTTGTCTTTTTTCTTCAGTTTGGGTCATATCTTCCTGGTTTTTAAAATGTGCGGTTTTGCATTGTATCTTGGACACCGTGAATATTATGTTGTACATAACGGACTCTGGACTCTGTTATATTCCTCTGGAGAGTGCTAATAAATATTTGTTTCAGTATGCAGTTAAATTTGGCTGGATCCAAACTGTGAACTCTTGTCTCTTGGGCAACATCTCAGTTCACTTCTTTTCTCTTTAGCTGAGCTGCTTGTCGTCTTCTATGCATGTGTGTAGTTCAAGGATTAAACAGAGGTGTATATAGAGAGTACGTACACAGAATTTTAAGTTCTCACTCTCTGGATTTCTCCTTTCCAGGACTCCTCCAACCCTTTCCAGTGGTTGAATCGGCTGTGGCTGACCCAAATTTTGTCCTCTTACAAGTTTTCTATGAAAGTTTTAGCCAACCTGCCAAGTGCCAACTCAGCCTGTCATCTGGCTAAAAGCAGTTAAAATGGAAAACACATTCCATGCTGTCTCTTCTAAAAGTGTCAGCTCCTTTTCAGAATCTGTCTAATTGTTCATTTTCCAGTATCTTCAGTTCTTTTTTTCTTCCAATTTTGTCCAGAATATATAGTTATATGCAAGAAAGGTCAGTTCCAGCAAAGCTTACTTGACCATACTGCAAGAAAAACCACCGTGATGTTATTTTTTTAAATTTACTTCAGCTTCACTGTGTGTGGATATATAGATTATCAAAAAAAAAATTTTTTTTAAGTTTTATTTATTTAGGAATAATCTCTACACCCAACATGGGCCTCAAACTCATGACCTCAAGATCAAAAGTCACATGCTCTTCTGACTAAGCCAGCCAGGCACCCCAGTATAGGTTCACTTTTCTTTTTTAAAAAAAGAGAGGGGGCGCCTGGGTGGCTCAGTCGTTAAGCATCTGCCTTCGGCCCAGTCATGATCCCAGGGCCCCAGGATCGAGCCCCGCGTCGGGCTCCCTGCTCAGCGGAGAGCCTGCTTCTCCCTCTCCCTCTGCCTGCTGCTTCCCTGCTTGTGCTCTCTCTCTGTCAAATAAATAAATAAAATCTTTTAAAAAAAAAATAAAAAGAGAGAAAGCGTGCATGCATGAGTGGGGGAAGGGGCAGAGACTGAGGAAGAGAGAGATCTTAAGCAGATTCTATGCTCAGCGTGGAGCCAGACGTGGGGTTGAATATCATGACCCTGAAATCGTGACCTGAACTGAAACCAAGAGTCAGACGCTCAAGCAACTGACTGAGCCATCCAGATGCCCCTAGATTCACTTTTAATAATTATTCTGAATAATTTCTTTTTTAACTTGTGTTTTCCTACTGTAATCATTTATCAGATAACAAAAACTCTGCTGGGGGGGTTCAATAATACAATTTTTATTAATAAATTATGAACATCTGGGGGCACCTGGCTGGCTCAGTCAGTACAGTGTATAACTCTTGATCCTGGGGTTGTAAGTTTGAGCCCCCACCTTGGGTGAAGAGATTACTTAAAAAAAAAATTGTGAACATTTTCACATAATAGCAGGAACTCCAACTTTGACAGCAAATTGACAATAACTAGAAAAATAATGCACATTCCTAGAAGTTAAATTGATAAGCAGTGGCACTCTGACCCTAGAGAAATATTTGTATATGTGTAAAACCAGACAAGTACAAAGATGTTAACTTCAGCACCGTCTGTAAGTGTAAAAAATGGAAAATAATCCACATCCTAATCAAAAGGAAAGTAACAGAGATAAAATGGATTACTGTATGTAAAGCTGTTAAAATGAATAAATTATTCACTTCATTCAAATTTTATATATTTCAATATGGAAAGAGTTAAAAAAAAAAAAAACCCTAATGTCGAATGAAACAAGTTGCATAACAAAGATGGTAATATTAATAAAGGTCTGAAAACACAAAACAATACTACATACACATACATTTAAAACAAGCTGGAAGGATTTATCAGGTCCGTGATGGTGGTTACCTCTGGGGAAGGGAAGTAGGGAGTAAGTGGGTCAGGTGGTAATCTAAGGGTTCTTTAGTTTGGAAGCAAATATGACCATTAATGTTAATTCACAGAAGTTAATTCTACATAAAGAAATACGAGTGTATATCTTTTTGTACTTTTCTATATTTTTCCATTTCTTAAAAAAAAAACAACCTATAACAGCTCCAATGGCTGCATAATATTCGATTGCACAGATAGGTAATAAGACATGGAGATACCTGCCAATATTTTAGACAGCACTACAAAAAACATCTTTGTAGGGGCACCTGAGTGGCTCAGTTGGTTAAGCATCTGACTCTTGATTTTGGCTCAGGTTGTGATCTCAGGGTCATGAGATCGAGCCCCGAACCTGGCTCCATGCTGGGCGTGGAGTCTGCTTAAGATTCTCTCTCTCCCTCTCCCTTTGTTAGAGCTCTCTCTCTAAATAAAATCTTAAAAAAACAAAACAAAAAACCCCCAAAACCTCCCAAAAAACAAAAAAACCCCACATCTTTGTAGTTGTTTTTGCACATAATTTTTTTCCTTAGAATAAATTCCTAGAAACAAAACTGCTAGATTAATTCTAGGACTCTGTTACATACTGCCAAAATGCCTTCCAGAAAAGTTGTAAAAACTTACATCTACCTATCACCAAAATATATACCTGTCTATTTCCTTGCATTCTTGCCAATCTGGATACTAAAATCCAAAAACCTGTCTTCACCCAATTAGGTGTATGAGCAGGATCTAAATTTTCCCCAAACAATTAGTTATACCATAGATCATACCATAATTATTGAACTATAATATCATCATAAAGGAAATGAAACTTATGCTTCATTACAAACTTGTATAAAATATACCATAAGACAGCAAAAGAAAAAATACCATTAATATTTTTCATTGTTTCTTTTGCCTATTTTCCCCAACAATTTTAGGCAGAACCTAATTACAGAACTGGTTTTACTTCAAAGGGAAGACTATTCAGATGTACTACTTAGAACTAGAGACTGATGTATTTTGCTGAAGTAGTTGTATTTTAAAATATTTATTCATAAAGTAAGACAATTTAAAAAGGTTTTCTATTTTGAAGCCTGCAAAGGAAGACCTTTTAGCTTCTTGGTCTCATTATACCGGTCTTTAATTAGCATCTAAAAATGTCTACTAATGATAGAATTTGGCCAGTGACAAATATCCTAAATTTCTATAGCCCATTTCACCTTTCACAACAGATTAAATAACTCAGTTAAGAATTACTAATAATTAGTATTTACACAGTACTTTGTTTACTACAACACTATAAAGCAGGACAAAATAATTATTACCATATTAACAGAGGAAGATGCCAAACCAGTTAGGTGAGTTATCTGAGGTCACACTGAAGCAGGAATTTGCCAAAATTAGACACTGAAGTCCTTGTAGCCTAATTCCTATATGCCTTATCATTCAAAAGAACAACCTGTAAGAATTATGACAACAACTCATAAAGAAACCTAGAATATACCAGAGTCGGAGAATCTTATTATTAAAATGATACTGAGGATCATCTCCTTCAACATCCTCACTTTACAGATAAGGAAACTGAGGCCTCAAAAGGTGATATAACTTAATTGTTCAAAGCTTTCTAGATGCTGTAAAGCAACAATGAAAATTCAGCACTCCTCAATCCAAGCTCAGCAATCTTCAATTTAACTAGAGTATAACAGCTATCCTTAACTGCCACTTCAAATTTTTTAGTTTATAAAACAGTCTCAATGTTTTCACTGATACTGAACAATTCATTCACTTAACAATGAACAAATAATTATCCAGTACCTACTACATGCCAGGTCCTGTACTTTGTGCTAAATGAGTATTTATTATATGCTAAGCACTGCATTATCTGCATGTCCACATTTGATCCCCATAATATTATTACAAGGTAAGCACAACTATCTCTATTTTAAAGATTAAAATTTAGAAAGACTAAGTAATCTGCCTGTGGTCTTCAGGAAGGAAATAAAAAGTAAAGGGTGCCCTTCTGCCGCAGCTGAAGAGCTGCAGCCACGGCTCTGCAAACCCCATGGTCATGGACCTCAACAAGGACCACAAGGTGACCAAGAACGTGAACAAGCCAAGGAACTTCTGCCGGCATGAGCACCTAACCAAGCACATCACATCAGTGTAGGACAAGATCCGAGAGGTGTGCGGTTTCACTCCTTTTGAGAGGCACCCCAGCAGGAGGAGCTGAGCAGCGTTCTGGCTGCCACCAGGATAGGAAAGTGGCTGCTAAGGGCTGGACCTCCTCCCCATTCTGTGCATAATAAAATGTTTATAGAAAAAAAGGAAATGGTATAATCAATTTTATAAGTTTATCCTAACAAAAAAAATCTTATTTTTATTTTAAATATTGTAACTCTGTATATGATTTCATTTGAAAAAAGGGATCTACTGTCAAAGAAGCCTGGAAAACCAGAGACCCCTACATAGATTTAAGAGTGACCGTATAGTGAGTGCAGAACTTAGGGTTGTGGGTCCCTTTTGGAAACCTTTAAATGTCCTTTTCTTCTTACACCTTCCAAGATCCCAGAACAGATAGCATTTGCAGTAATGTAACTGAAGGCTGATTTCGAGAAAAGTAATCATTCAAATAAAGAGAAGACAAAGGAGGGCGCCTGGGTGGCTCAGTTGGTTAAGCGACTGCCTTCGGCTCAGGTCATGATCCTGGAGTCCCGGGATCGAGTCCCGCATTGGGCTCCCTGCTCAGCGAGGAGCCTGCTTCTCCCTCTGACCCTCCCCCTTCTCATGTACTCTCTCTCATTCCCTCTCTCACATAAATAAATAAAATCTTTAAAAAAAAAAGAGAGAAGACAAAGGGAAAAGCTTCTAGTACCACATAATAAATCTGGCCTGAAGAGTATTCAGTAAGGTCCAAAGTAGAAGAATGCATGACTTCTCTTAAGCAATACTCACAAAACAGTACTATAATACAATACTGGTTACCTACTTTCAGAGCATAAAATCTCTGTAGTATAAGATCAAATTAATTAAAAGTTTCATTTGCTGTCGTTCCCAGGAGGAATTCCTTTATCTTTGATTGCTAAATAGATTTCACAAGGCCCACAGCAAAAAACCCAAGTGCTAAGCAGTGCTACTATTATGGAGATTTAAAAGTAAGCTTTGTGAATAAATAAATGCCTAATGATATTCTTAACACAGCAACTGCTCTAGGGCCAACCTGTAAGGAAAGCAGAACCTTGAGGAAAAAAAACAAACAAACCAAAAACCTGAAGCATAAAAAATGTTTTAAGGAGAATATTAATTTTAACAAGTGGTCTACTGCTTTGGGAAATATTTGTATAAGAAAAACAAATCAGGCAACCACAAAAAAAAATTCTACCTTTCCCCATTACGCAGTGTTGTTTTTATTCTAGCCGTAATTTTGGTGATATAAAATCAGAGACTTAGAAAAATGACACTCTGATAAGTAATCAATCACAGCAGAATTAATCACATGTAGTATTTCTAATGTAAATGATTACCTGAGAAGTTTGTGAGAAGTCTTGCTAGGGCTTGCTTGTTTACCACTTCAGTCTTACTAAGGCTCGAAATAGTATCTACCCTAGGAGTTTCTTTGCTAATTGTGGGCTTCTTAGAAATCCCAAGATCAGATCCAGTATTAACTTCTGTGTGTTCTAGGACATCATACGATCTCTGAAGCCAAGAAGATTCTGGATCACATGTGAAAGTCTGCTTGAGTATTTCTTCAGGAGAAGATTCTACATTATCCAGTACAGAAGCTGACTTCTCAACCTTCCTTTCACTCAGTTCCTTAAGTGCTTTGATTGTGAGCTGTTCCTGTTCTAAGTCAAGAGATGCTGCTGGAGTACCCTGGGCAGGGAAAACATCCAGAACCGTACTTTCATTAGTTTCTTTGCTTTGTTCAGTGTGTTTGCTTTTTCTATCTTTAATTTCAGAACCACCTGATTCATTTTCATGCAAGATTTCCACAGCAAGAGTTGTTTTAAAGTCTGCAGTCTTCTCTGATGTTGCCTGAAAGGCATTTCCTGCATCTTTATCTACAATTCCTTCCTCTCTGGTTTCTGTAAAGGCTGCTATCAGGTCCCCTGGGGAAGAATCATCTGCACCTTTAACACTTTTTTCATGTAATGACTCCAAATAGGCAGAGGTTGTCACATTTAGTGAGAATTCTGTCTCTGGAAGAACACTTGGAGACAGAGCTGAGGGATGTTTGCGGTTCTCGGTTGCAACAGGCTTTTCAGGATCAACTTCACTCATACTACCCGACTGCTCCACCTCTTCTGACGTGCCATTCAGATCAGGTACTTGTGAACACGCTGCCTCACCAGCTGGACTCCTTTCAAGAATATCAGGCTGAACTTGCACTGCCTCAGAGCCACTGACTGGCCCTTCAAAGTTTTCACATGTTTTATTTTCCCTATTGCAATTGAAAATCTCTTCGATTTCTCTTTCATCTCTTTTTACAATAGCACTTGGAATGGAAACAGGTTTTTCAGCCTGAATTTTGTTACTTTCAAATGAAATACTGGTTGTAATGTCCTCTATTACTGTGTCATCAGATTCACCAGAACTATCAGCCTCTGTGGCTTCTCCTAACACAGAGCTCTGCCAATTCATTTCACCTTTCACATGGCCATCAGGTAAGACCACTTTCACATTAGCCACTCCAGAACCCAAAGAGAGACTTTTCTCAAAAGGAGATCCAGGTAACTCTGAAAGTGTGTTATCTTGTTTCTGCACATTGCCTCCCACACCTTTGATACTGATTTCCTTCGTGGAATGGAGACCGTCTGGCATAGGTTTTTCCGTGACAGCATTTTCTCGTGGGAGAGATGCCTGTGCCCAATCACCTGCTGATTTAATGATGGGAGTGCTCCCACTAATAGAACATACAGGAAATTTCTGGTGAGCGTTAGTCTTAAGATTTACAATTGGGATTTCTGAATTATATTCACTCATATCAAGTCCTGTAGTTTTTGTGATGTAGTCAGATTTACTGCTCTCTTCTTTCACTTGGGGAACCAAATCCCAAGTCAGTATTTCATTAGTAAAGTTATGCATATCATTCACACATCTAGACACTTCTTCCAATGCTGCAGTTGTGTGCGAAAACTGTCTAGTGAGCAATGCAGAGGTTGGGTAACGCCCTGCCTCTTTACTTCTCAGTGGAAATAGTTTGTCACTAGACTCCAAAATGTCTGCAGATGATTCTCTATCAATGTGCACTGCCCACCTACCAAAATCATTTGTGCTCTCCTTACAGGCATCTTTAAATTCTTTGTCAAATGCTTCTTTGTCAATAATTACTTCAAATGGTGACTCAGGGGAATCCTTTTCAATAATACCACCTCCTGAAACTTCAGATGGGGATAAGGAATATGTACAAATGCCTTCTGCCTTAGGCTGCTGGGCGAGTGGTTTCTGGGCTTTTAGCAAAGTGAACTTGTCATCAACATCCAAGCCAGTTTCATCACCCGTACCTGGTACCTCATTTGGGTTCCTGGACTCCTGATTTTTATTTATTTGCTGTTCCATTAGACCAACTTCCTTTGAGAGAAAAGCAGGACGATCAGGGAAACTGACCGGAATGGAAGGACGGTTACACTGAACTCCTTCTGCAACAGAAACTGGGGAGTATGCTATGTCTTTACTAGTCCCTTGAAGCTTTTCCATCTTTTTCACATCTAGTAGATCCAAACAGTCTTTTCCTCCTTTGGCTAAAATAGGCTGGCTGCCTAACACTTTGCTTTTTTCTCCATGTAGTACTGTAAGGTCAGTGTTATGCATTTCAGAAGACGAAAAAAGGGAGGAAGTCATAATTTCTGAAGGTGGCTCATCAGAGCAAAGAGAGCTCAATCCCTCTATAGTCAGAATTTGAAAGAAAAAAGTTTGTTTACCAGGTACAATCACACATTAGCTAGTCAGGCCAAGCAGCATGCTTTTCATTTTGCAAGTTACATATATATATATATAGACACACACACACAGGATGTATATATATACATACACACACGTAAATATGTAACAAAACAATGATCAACAATTAACCTATAAAACATGCATAAAAGTGCCAAGAGTGAAACAGAAAAGCTGTATCATGCTACAAATTGCAGATGACAAAAAATTTTCATGACAAATACTTTTCAGTCTACTTTTTCCATTGTAAAAGTAGAGCATAAAGAAGTATAATGAGATTGGGAAATCTGGGGAAATTTTTTTTCCTTTTTTTTTTTTCCTGGTAGAGCTATTCAATGTAATCCATACATAACTCAATATTATGAAGTACTGATATGTTCTTATCTGTAAGCTGCATAATTCAGTACACAGAGTTTCTACAAATCCACTGTTATAGTCTGACAGTTTGAGAAGAAAAAAAAAAGTGACCACAGTTCTTTTTGATTCTTAGGAGATACAGTGGATCCCTCCTGAGCCTAAGAATCAGACTAGAATTATTCTATTCTATCCACAGGGAAGATTGGTCTCAGGTACAGACGGCCTCATTTTAAACTAAAGAGTATGAAATGGTTGGCCTGCTCCAAAATCTCTTGCACCAACTTGCCAATTTAACCAACATTGAACTGTGCAAACTGGTAAGGTTTGTTCTGTGGTTAAGAAGAGTTAACGCCAGAAACCCTTTTAAAAGAGAAAATATCCTTCTAAAAGTAATACATTAATTAAATCTTATTAGTTATTAATACTACAACAGCCAGTGATTTATCATATTGTTTTCCAACTTTCCAATCTAGCAAGTTTTTCCAGAAGAAAAGATCAAAACAACTGTCCCAAGGTAAGTGCTGTCTCTCTTGCACATTGTTGTTATCTCTGGAGTTAGAACAAAGTAAGTCTTAAATAAATCGTTCCAAATGAGTGAATCAAAGACTGTTTGGCCAGGTGAGACCTAAGCAGGCTCAGGACAGCACTGCCTTGAGTGTGAATGAGTGTGAATTTATGAAAGAGAAAAACCTTTGGGATTACTTTTATTCAGCTTATATTCTTTTTCATGTGAGAAGCTGAATAATAGAAGCAAAATTGTGACTTTATTCAAAATCATTTCATAAGACTGAAAAGAAATAAAAACTAAATATCTTACTCCAAAAAATAAAATTTAACTATTATAAAAATGTTTCCAAATGCCAGATAAAGTTCCTCTATTTCAACACATGACTGAAATTTCATGTAATAGGATATGACCTTTAGAACAGTTTAACTGTTATCTGGGTATTGGGGGAAAAAGTTTTTGTAAATTGAGGAAAAACACAGTTTGGTGGTACAAACTGTACTAGTGGGACAGAAAATACTTGAAGCAAGCTGTAATTCACATTTACTTTTTTTTTTTTAAAGATTATATCCATTTATTTGACAGAGAGAGACATAGCGAGAGAGGGAACACAAGCAGGGGGAGTGGGAGAGGGAGAAGCAGGCTTCCCGCTGAGCAGGGAGCCCGATGCGGGGCTCGATCCCAGGACCCTGAGATCATGACCTGAGCAGAAGGCAGACGCTTAACAACTGAGCCACCCAGGCGCCCCAATTCACGTTTATTTCTAATGTAGTAAAGATGGTTTGCATCTATCATTATATAGTATTGTTATTTAGTACTCAGCAAGACCAGATTAAGGAGACAATATAAATGAAGCTCAGCATTATAGATTAAAAGGTTCAAAACCCTGAAATTTAAAGAACTACATTTTTAGTAGTTCATTTGTAGGCTACATTTAAATCAGAAATATTCCATGATCTGAGCTATGTTATTATTACTGAACTTATTGGTTACTGTTTCTACCATGAAACATTCAATGGATTAAATATGGATTAAGGTAAAACTGGGAACCCCTCCCTTCAAACATGAATGGAACTCTGACATGATCAAAACTGACTCCACCTTACAGGGAATGCTTGGCTTGTATATTTTATAGAGACTGAGATATCAGATAATTTAGACCAGCCATCTTATAGACAAAAGTGGACAAAATGAATTAATAATTCCACAAATATTAATCGAGTGCCTGTCATGTGTCAGACACTGCCTTAGAAACTAGATTAACAGTGGTGAACAAAACAAAAGATCCTTGAGTTTGTGGTGCTTAAGGGTACCTGCACCCAGAGCAGGAGACAGACAATAAGCAAAATCAGTAAGTAAAGTGATGATGTGGTGGTGGTGGTGGGCCTGAAGAAATGAAAAAGAAAGCAACCTGGGGTGCCTGGGTGGCTCAGACGGTTAAGCGTCTGCCTTCGGCTCAGGTCATGATCCTGGGGTCCTGGGATTGAGCCCCACATCGGGCTCCCTGCTCAGTGGAGAGTCTGCTTCTCCCTCTCCCTCTGCCTGCTGCTCTGCCTACTTGTGGTCTCTATCTCTCTGTCAAATAAATAAAATCTTAAAAAAAAAGGAAAAGAAAAAGAAAGCAACCTACCCTGAATGCTAATAGAAGAATGTGCACATTACTGGGGGAAAACGCATGGTGGAACCATTCTAACATGCTTTGTCAGGACACAACCTGGTCAGTTTTCCAAGCCTTGTTTCTCTCCTTTCTTCTTTGAACTCTTAATACTCCAAAAGTTTTAAGTTAGGTATATAATAATCCGAGGTAAAGCCAGAAGATTAGGTTAGAAATCTTATTCTCAGAATACTAGCAAGTCCTGCAATAAATAAAACTTATAACATTCTTTAATTAAGACTCTTTAATATGATGTCACTATTATGCACACACAAATAACTTTAGTCATATTTCCTAATAATTTTGTGACAATATATGGAATGGATAGTGCTTTCTCGGGGGTTAGCCTAGGGTGCAAACAGAGCTCAATGCTGCATTAATTTCTCTGAGACTGTGAGATACAGGAACTAGCTCTCACCATTGTCAATCAAGCTTTCCCACATGTAGCAAAATAAGTAAGCATCCTCATCTGTGCTTCAACTTTAATTATCATGTTTAGAATTTCAGCAAATGAAAGGAAGTTTCTTTGGCTAGTTGAAACCCTAACAAACTTGGACAGAGCTGACTTGTACAGAGACAATGGAAAAAACTGGGCTGGAAGTAAAAAGTTTATAAAGGCATGAAAACATTAAATAGAACGAGACCAGAATCTACTAAGCCTTTTTTAGAACAGCTCCCATAAGCAAAGACTCTTCCAATTAGTGAGTATGGCACTTAATAGTCACTGGTGTTGTCCAAGTCTATAAAACAGCAGAAATCGCCAGGGAGTTTGAAGGTTGTTAGTTTTTAAAATACCATACACTGTAAAACTGCCTGATAGAATGACTCTGGATCATCTTACATCTCAGAAAATGTCCATTCCCTTTGCCTTTTCAAAAGATCCAACCGGGGCGCCTGGGTGGCTCAGATGGTTAAGCGTCTGCCTTCGGCTCAGGTCATGATCCCAGCGTCCTGGGATCGAGTCCCGCATCGGGCTCCCTGCTCCTTGGGAGCCTGCTTCTCCCTCTGCCTCTCTCTCAATCTCTCTGTCTCTCATGAATAAATAAATAGAATCTTAAAAAAAAAAAAAAAAAAAAAAGATCCAACCGTTCACATGCACTACAAGAGACTTTCAACATTACTCAAAACCAATGTCTGTCAAAAAATTCCCTCATTATGAATATTTTCTAGTTATTTGCTGTAATAGGATTTAATGTGCATATTCATTTTCAAGAATTCTAATTACTTAAAAATATGGTATGGCTCTATACACCTAATAAGTTTGTTGAAAAAGGGAATTATAGGGCGCCTGGGTGGCTCAGTTGTTAAACAACTGCCTTCGGCTCAGGTCATGGTCCTAGGGCCCTGGGATCGAGTCCCACATCGGGCTCTCTGCTCCGCGGGAAGCCTGCTTCTCCCTCTCCCACCCCCCCTTGCTTGTGGTTCCCTCTCTCACTATGTCTCTCTCTGTCAAATAAATAAAATCTTTAAAAAAAAAAAAAAGGGAATTATATATGGTAGAGGTGAAAAATGTCATAACCCCATAATAATCATGAGAATGTTCCCAAATTTATCCAGTACTGAGCTGTTTGCTTACCCGTATCTTCCTAAGGTCTAAATACTTATAAGTCTCCACTTAAGTGTACTATCCGAAATAAGACTAGGAAATTAAGTTGGCAGTCTAAATTTCTAGACCGCTCCCAGACCAAAAATTTCTATTAAAAGATGCAAAATCATTTGATCACACTTACTAATCGTGTGGCCTTGGCAAGTTGATTAATCTCATCTAAAAAACGGTGATACTAAAGCACCTAACTTGAGAATTGCTGTGAGGATTAAATGAGTTAATAGGTGAAAAGTTCTTAGAGCACTATCTGGCACTTAGTAAATCCTCAGTAAATGTCCCCAGACACCACATTCTCAAAAAAAAAAAAAAAAAAAAAAAAAATCTCCTGACACAGAGACTCCAGATCATATGCTTTTTTGATAGGGGAGAGTATATAAATCCTCATTCAGAGTTTTAGACACTTTTCCCTCCTACCATTCTCAAATAAAAGTAATTTAAAGAGCTTTTATCTATTTCAAAAATTTGGGTGATGCAACTTCTGAATCAGTTATTACAAAACAAATGTCTATGGCATTCCAAGAATCATACTGGATTCTATGTAGGTAAAGACATTTAAGACGGTCCAACACATAAAAAAATGGAAGGCAAGGTTGAAAGAAAAAAGAACTTTTTCTGAACAAAATGTTTCATTTTACCACCACCAAGGCCAAAGTATATTTTAGTTCAATGTACAACTAGCTGAACAATATAACAACCTGGCACAAAAACAGTCTTGGATGCCGTCTTTTACACTCCCTTTCAAACTTTAGAACTACTAGTACTTCATGTATTATCTCTGCCTTACTGACTCAGAATTTCCTGAAATGGATGCAATCTGCATTACAAGTTTCCTAGGTAATGAACCTGGTTTGAAAACCAGAACTTTATGAATTTTAGAAAGGTAGAAAAATTGAGCTGTACTTCAGAACTCTAGTCTTGTAAAAATCCCACAGGAGATGAACCTGACGCTTTTCACTCTCACTCTTGCCCCTGTCCTTGTCCAGAAGCACAGCTTACAGTTTAGTAGGGCATGGGTGGTCCTTTTGTGCATGCTTCAAATACTTCTATCTGCTAAGTTTGAAGTATAGTAACTCGAAATTTTGATTGGAATAAGGCAAAAGCTCCGTTTGATTGGAGAATAAGGTGTGGGAATTCAGGAAGAATTTTCCCTCTTCCTTGCCTGCAGTATTTTATATCTCAGAACAAGGTGGGGAGTTAAAAATGACATGAAAAATCAACTTCCAAGTGAATACTGTGTTCACATCAAGTAAATACACTCGAATTGAAAAAAATCTCTTCAAATATTGTTTACTCTATCCTTCAAAATAATTTCTCTTTACTTTGTTTCTTGTCCCCCAAACTGCCTTTTCAAAAAAGACTTAATATTTTTATTCAGGTGTTGGTAACTTAATTACTGAAAACAATGTGATCTAGAAATAAGTAATTAATAATGAATATTATATCCTATTATCAGAGTACTTCCTAAAAAGAGTGAATAGCTTAGAATCCTGTTTTAGATACCATTTGGTTACTTTCCAACCCTCCTCACTAAGGAAATTCATTACTTTTAATTAAAAGGATAGCTGTAACATGGAAAAACCATACACATCAGCAAAGAAATACTATGCTTATTCATACAAGGGAGGCTTGAAATATTCAGGTATAGGTTTTCCTACACTTGAATTTTCTTATGTTCACAAAACAGGAAGGAAAGACAAATTCTCGTGCAAAACAGTATCAGCAACTTTCAGCCACAGCATCGAAATAGGAAGTTAGCCAGCAGACACTTTGCAGCCAAGCTAATCCTAAACAAAAAGTCTCTTCTGTACAAAGAAAAATGTTTTGCTCTTGTTAAAAAAAAGGCTGTAACTGGCAAATTTTTCCCTCAAATGCCTGCCCCAAAGTCCAGTGTTTAACTAACTTCCTATTCCAGATGCCTACTGCATTACTCAAATTGAATGCAAATGTTCATTACTGCAAAGGTGCTTCCAGTTCTTCAGGTTCCTCTCTTTCCCATCTTATTTTTACCTACTTTTCTTCCATGCTTTCTAAAGAAAATCAGCGTATTTTTCAGCCTCCACTCTTTTCAAAGGTTTCAAAAGTAGAAACCAAATTTCAGTTTGATTTTGTGCTCATGGAGGGAGCAGAGCCCCCTGATGATACTAAATTTACATCACTAACAGCAGTAATATGGTTAAAATAGAATTTCTGCCTCTTCCCCTGCTCTTATGATTGTAACATTAACCTCAAAATGACATCTCTAAAAATATCTGCAAACACTAAAATACAACTAATATACTTTATCATGGGCAGTGTTTATGAGTATGGGCTTTGGAGTCCTACATCTGTCACTTATTCACTCTGTGATCTTGAGCAAGTTATTGCACCATTTTAAACCTGTGTCAACTGGTAAATGAGCTAGTACCTTTCCTCCATAAAACTGGCTGTGCGTATTGAAACAATTCACATAAAGTACTGAACACAGTAAAAGCTCAATAAAAACGAGCCACATCCTACATGTATACCTCTGTTAATATCTTTATTTTACATTACAGGAAAACGCCATTAAAATTTATTCCCCTATTTTGAAACACTTAGGGATTAGGCTGAAATTAAATTCTGCTTGATAAGAAAGAAGGAATCAATAAGAAAAGACTACAAAGGACCTACTCAGGAATACAATTTATTTAAAAAGAAATCGATTATTCTATTAATATTGTCATTACAAATATATTTAATAGCTGTCAAAAAGTTTGCTTTGCTAACTTAAATAGCTGTCTACTTCAAAGTAGTACAATTTAATAAATATTACATTAATTTTCTTTTGAAAAATTTAACTGCCCTTCCTTTATTCAGTGCAAATTAATGGCAGTTTTTTGTGTATTCATCTCCCTGAAGACCAATAATAACTATCTCAGGATTGAAGAGGTCATTCTCAAATATAAAAATGTCCTATTTAATAATTGCTATATTGCTTAGATATATAAAAGTAAGGCTAATTCTCCAAGGCTAAATAAGTGGCTAAGAGTATGGAAGCCAGAGACAGAGGAGTTAGTTGGGTTAATGCCAGTGATGGACTCAAGGTTCTTCTTGGTGGTGGCACTCTGAAAGCCCTGCATTGGGCCAGACTGGTCCCAGCAATTCTCCCCAAGGGGTTAATCCAGTTAAACAAGGACACCAACATCCTCTTTCCTTATTTTTATAAGGCATACTAGAAGCTACCATTCTTGGCTACTCTAGAATGCACCTAATCACTTGCCAAGGTGTTTCCTCAAACAACAGATTGATCTCTAGACCTGCCAATGAAGTAGAGTACCAACTGGGTTACTTTTCCATTACGTGTTTTTTTGCAGGAGAAAAATGCTAGTAGTAATAGAGGCTAGACTGGAACACCTTCAGGGATATGGCTTTTTTAACTGCCTCTTTATAATACTCTTTTAACAATAACATTATCCTGAATCTGCACTGCTCTAAATAACTCTTTTTAAGCAAAAAGGAAAAAATGGCAAATCTATTTTCTTTTACAAACTTTCATACTCACTGTGACGCTGAAGCCTACTTAAACATTGGTTTTTAATTAGCAAAATCCTTATTTACCTCTATTCTATTTGAATGTATGTGTAATTTTTCCCAATAGGAATGAAATAGTTTTTTAAGCTATAACAGTTATCTTGTCGACATTCCATACATTAGTTATGTTGTATTTGGCTTGCATTGTTACACTATTTAGGATATCGATTATTCCCCTTCTGTATGAAAAAAGTGGCTGAAAGTTCTAACCTTGAAGAATTGTATTTTAAAAGATCTAAAATATTTACAAGAGAAAATGTAATGATTTGTTCTATCTACATTATGCTATTTTTACCAGTTTATCTTCCAGAGTAGATTACATGTAATACCTACTTGCCTAAATTATTAAATTGCTCATAAGGAAAAAAACTCTTTAAAAAATCAATCTGGTTGGATTTCAGATGTCAAGTCACTTTATAGGTTTGAATTATTTTTCTAATATTCACAAAATATCTATCTTTTAATGCAAACACTTAATTTCAAAGGTCATGATTTGACCCACAAGTTACCCAAATTCACCCAAGACACATTACAAAGGGGCTGGGGGACCTAATATTATCAGTCTGATTTAAAAGCAACAAATTATCTACCATGTTTCATAAGAAATATGCTACATTCACTTTATCCCATTATGTTTTTATTCTTATAAGGTCAAAGTCTTGGGGCCCGCCCCTGGGTGGCTCAGTTGTTAAGCGTCTGCCTTCGGCTCAGGTCATGATCCCAGGGTCCTGGGATCGAGCCCCGCATCGGGCTCCCCTGCTCAGCGGGAAGCCTGCTTCTCCCTCTCCAACTCCCCCTGCTTGTGTTCCTGCTCTCACTATCTCTCTGTCAAATAAATAAAATCTTTAAAAAAAAAAAAAGGTCAAAGTCTTCCTACCAAACCAGCATCCAGACTTTGCATCTAGAGAATTCCAGCTGGGACAGTAATCTGTTTGCACAGGGCTTCTCAGACCTATCTAGTGAGTTTAATTACCTTTTTTTAAAATAAGGATTTTCCATTGACCTATATTTTAGATTGAGTACACCAGACAAATGAAACTGTGCTTATTACTAGTGCGACTCGACAGAGCACATAGTGCTCTCTCTTACAGATTCTTGATAGTGCTACCCCCGCAAACATACAGCTATCACACTCGATTCCCTTCTTCACTGGCTGGCAGATTAAACAAACAAACAACCCCACAAAGCCACAGCTTAATCTCTAGGAAAACAAGCCTTGCTTGCCAAAAAGTCAACTGACTTGTTCAGTGTTCCTAGGCATTTTGGAACCAGCCTCGCTCTTGGGACAAATCTCAGATAAATTCACACTAAAGTACTCTAGCTAAGTTAGTGTATTAGTAGTTCAGTGGAAGCACACTTTTATACTGTTTTTTCCAAATCTACTATCTCTCCAAACCAGTGACATAACTGCAAATCAGTAGGTTAAATGCATCCTGCACTGGGTTGTGTTATGAGCCACAATTCTGTCTGCTCTAAATTCTAATTTTTAAGAAATGCTCAAAACTGCACCTAAAGCTTATGTGCTGTTAAAGGGTTCACCTACCTAGTCTTACCCTATTTTATTAACCTTTACAGGAAATCCAAAGCAAACTACTAAATATGAAGGACTGGCTTGTAGTTTTTATTTCAAGGGGTTTGGGAGCAATAGAAAACTTGCGCCTCATATCCCCAGTTACAGCCTCTTTCTCAACATTTTTCTTTTATTAATGCACACAAAAAAATGACAGACTTGCCTTGTGAGGTCGAAAATAGAGATACAGGCTGAGAGGAAGAGGAAGAAACAAAGGAATCTGAAAGAAAATATACAGCATGAGAATTTGACAACCTCACACAGGAATTTTAACTTTAACTCTCCAACTCTCCTTTTTTTTTGGCCAAGCATCATAATTTCATTGGGTTTAAACAAGAGGGGAAAACTCAAATCTTTATTTCCATTTACTGTTTACACTCACCTGGCAGCAAAATCTTATTTTATTCTCAAGATGCATTTCTAAAAGTTAATCAATTTTTTTGGTCAAATATTCTCACCTTCAAAGAAAGAAAATAGGAACCTCTAGCATTTTTAAACAAGTATAACCTCAAGAAAGAGGATACTCCCTTGCAATTCTTTGTGGGAAAGAAAAAATAGGTACCTGAGTACTAACTGATACTTGCTTTTAACCATTATCAACTGCATTTTGAAGAGCTGGTCACTAATACAAGCATTTGAAGTTATAAACTTGGCAAATATGCAAAGCTGACCCTGAATACTTAAAAAAAAAAAAATCACAAATAATCCATTAGGAAAATAAGACTGCACGAGAAATCTTCCACCTTCTAAAATTATAGTCCTCTAAATTTGGCAACATTTATCAAAATTGTAAATGCATGTACTGTCCCCACCAATAATAGTTATTCTTTTAATTTGGCCAGTTATGCCTCAAGAAATTTAACCTACAATATTAGCACAGAGTACAAACCCGTGTACATGAGAATATTCATCAGAGCACTGGTTATGAATATTAGGAATACTCTAAGTGATCATCAACAGGAAACTAAATAGTTACATCCAAACGATGGAATACTTGCTGCTATGAAAAACAGTAAAGTACAGCTATGTATGTTGATACAGTTGATAAATTAAAAAAGCAAAGTGCAGAAGTATATACTTGTGCCCCCCCTTTGTTGCTAGCAAAAGGGACTCTGAGGTCTGAAATGGGGGAGATTTGCTTTTCACCACCACCTTTGGCCCTTAAAAAAAAATACAAACCAAGCATATAATTCACTAAAAATGGAAAAAATTAATAAAAGTAGAATGTGAAAAGCAGCCCCCCCGCCACAAAGTGCCCCTAAATATACTGGCCTTTACTCCTTTTTTCCTTGCAACTATAAAAATGTTTTCACAAATATTAGAAATGTACTTAAAATAGGGAGATTGATTGCTTTAAAGGACTGGGCTATAGCTTGTATTGATAAATACAAATTTATTTAGTCAATAAATATGAAGCACATTAACAGCAACAGAATTTAGTAGACCACAGGCACAGTTCAGTAACTCAGGACCAGAATTTAAAAATTCACTACTTTTTAACTCTCTTAAGATGAAGCATCACATTTACCACTACAAATGAAAAACTATTCTTTTTTGGTTGTTTTTGTTTTGTTTTTAGTAATCTCTACCCCCAACGTGGGGCTTGAACTCTCCACCCTGAGATCAAGAGTTGCACACTCCAACTGAGACAGCCAGGTGCCCCATCCCTTTCCTTTTTTAAAGCAAGCATTTCTGCTTCTTTAATGTTTCCAGATGGGTTCATCCCTATATTTACCTTCAACATTAAATCTCTGCCAGATGATGAGTTTAAATCTGAATAAACCTGAAAAACCAAATGTTAATAAGTTCAGCCGAACGCCAAAAAGGATCCTATGAACTTGACTATCCACCTCCATGTAACACCCCCTCGTAATGGAAAATTTCAACATACAAATTCTTATACACAGCATCTATTCTGACACAAAACACAGATAACAAGTAACACTTTCCAACAATATTGCATGAGATCTTCTAACTCACAAAACCACACTGTATTCATATCCCATATTTATGCCACAGGAAACTAAACTCAAGAATGGTGATCTTAATTCTCAAATGCTATTAATTAAATCAAACATTATCATTAATAACAGTAATCATTAGCTAGGTCCAGGCACTGTATCAGCACTGGAATAGAGATGACAGCTATGCCCACATAACTGAAGGAGAAATACAAGCCAGTAAAACTGCATGAGTTGTGGGAAGGCAGCAGAGGCAGGTGAGTAGGGTACATTGCAGAAGAGATGGTAAACTTAGTCTTTAAGGTCATCAAGTCACCACGGCAGGGGAAGCCATTCTGGAGAGAAGGAATAACTTGCCACATTCCAAACGACTTTAAATGTCATGTAATGAAATTTGGATTATATCCTATATGTGATGAGGAATCACACTGACAATATCACAGGTGTTTTAAAAAGAACTATGGCAGCAGGTAGAGCATAGACTTAACTGGAAAGCTACTGCATAATCTTGGCATCAGTTTATTTGGTTAGTAAACTTAGCAAAGGTCTATTAGAGACTGGTTAAGTAAGTTTCCATATATCCATACAATGGTATACTATTCATTAAAAATTGTGCTGTGGGTAAGAATTTATTGACACTAGAAGTTGTTGATAGGATACTGAATAAAAAAGAACAGTACAAAAAAACTTAAACGTGACCCAATTTTGGTAAAAAATACAAATTCATGTAAGATGAAAAAGGGATAATGATATTTCCTGAGTAGATTATGAAAATTAAAAAAAAATATTTTTTCTTCTCTGTGTTTTTGAAAATAATGAACTTGTATTCTTATTTCAAAAAAGCTTATTTTGTTACAAATGAAAGAATATATATGAAAATGTTAACTGGGTGGTTCTACTCGCTGATTTTTAATTTTCTTTGTATTTTTATTTTCCTAAATTTTGTTATGGACATACATTTTTCAAGAATTATAAATTCCTGGGATGCCTGGGTGGCTCAGTCAGTTAAGCATCTGCTTTTAGCTCGGGTCATGATCCCAGGGTTCTGGGATCAAGTCCTGCACTGGGCTCCTTGCTCAGCGGGGAACCTGCTTCTCCTTCTCTTGCTCCCCCTGCCTGTGCTTGATCTCTGTCAAATAAATAAATAAAATCTTAAAAAAAAATAGAATTATGAATTCCCAACACATACCTAATTCCCCACTTCTACAGGGAACAGGTTAGCAACCTTTGAAGAGAAAAAGGATACCTAAAATGGGATCTCTTACCAGGTCTTTCAATAAAACTTGAGTGAATAATCTTTTTAGTCTTTACACCACTAGATTTTCAATACTCGTAAGACCCTAATCTGCAACAAACTGTCAAAACTACCCCCCCAACCCCCGCCAAAAATCCTGCCTCTTTGAAAACAGGTCCTTCCATTTACTGAGTCCTGAATATTTGTGATAGACACTGAGCTAAATATTTATATACATATTAAGTGAAATCTTTACAAAACTCATTTAAGATTAAAAAAAAAAAACCCACAAAAACTTAAAGCTTTTATCAGTACTTGAATCTGCACTTTTCGGGGCGCCTGGGTGGCTCAGTCGTTAAGTGTCTGCCTTCGGCTCAGGTCATGATCCCAGAGTCCTGGGATCGAGCCCCGCATCCAGCTCCCTGCTCCACAGGGAGCCTGCTTCTCCCTCTCCCACTTCCCCTGCTTGTGTTCCCTCTCTTGCTGTGTCTCCGTCAAATAAATAAATAAAATCTTTAAAAAACAAAAAACTGCACTTTTCTTTAAAGTCTGTGCCTTTCTTTATCATTCTACCAGTAAGATAAGATCTTGTCGCCTTACCTCTTCACCCTTCTCTCCAGCAGCATATTGAGTGGGTGAGAAGTGGAAAAACAGGAGGAAAAAGACCAAATGGCCCACTACTGAAGGTTTTCAAATTTGTGTCAAGCCTGTGCTAGATATTGTTGGGGGTAGAGAGGAGAGGAAGAGAGGTGCATTGGATTGGACATGAGACTCAAGTTTTGATTGAGATGGGGGGAAAATAAACCAAATAAATCTGTTTGAATTTTCTAACCCTCAGTGAAAATACTGTTCCAATGAACTGTTCATTTTAGTGATAACTGTCCCTCAACACCAGCAGAATAAAAACTATATACATATATATTTTAAGATTTTATTTATTTGGGGCGCCTGGGTGGCTCATTTGTTGAGCATCTGCCTTCCCCTCGGGTTGTGGTCTCAGGGTTCTGGGATCGAGCCCCGCATCGGGCTCCCTGCTCCGCAGGAGGCCTGCTTCTCCCTCTCCTACTCCCCCTGCTTATGCTCCTTCTCTCGCTGTGTCTGTCAAATAAATAAATAAAATCTTAAAAAAAAAAAAAAAGATTTTATTTATTTGACAGAGAGAGGGGGAACACAAGCAGGGGGAGTGGGAGAGGGAGAAGCAGGCTCCCAGCTGAGCAAGGAGCCTGATGCAGGGGGGTGGGGGGTGTTGATCCCAGGACCCTGGGATCATGACCTGAGCCAAAGGTAGACGCTTAACAACTGAGCCACCCAGGCACCCCCACAAACTCTATTTTTAGAAAAGCAGCAAAGTTACTTTTAGGAACAACTTTGTACAATGAATGACTTCTATATTTAACCTCAAAATGTCTGCCTTTTTGATAGTTTCTATAGATTATTAAAGCATCTTCCAATACATAAGGAAAAGTAGTGTTTGAAATTTTATCTAAAACTAATATAATGAAAATTAGAAATTCTTTAGCTCTTTCAAACACCTTTTCTTTCTACTATTAAAATAAAAGATTTTTGTCATGGGGCGGCTGGGTGGCTTAGTCAGTTAAGCAACTGCCTTCGACTCGGGTCATGGTCCTGGGATGGAGCCCCATGTAACTCCCTGCTCAGCAGGCATCCTGCTTCTTCCTCTCCCTCTACCCCTCCCAGCCGCTTGTGCTCTCACTTGCTCGCTCTCAAAACAAAAACAAAAACAAAAAAACAACCCAAAACCAAAAAACTAAAAGATTCTTGTCACTTACAGTTTTCCTTTTTGCCTATAAAGCTAGGCTCTCTGAAAAGGGTTTTTCCACTCTTTCCCATGACCACAATTCCTGATGGCAACTCATATCATTTCCGTAGAAGCTGCTAAACTGAGCCTTTTAATACCCACTGTCCTATTAGAATTCCAGGGATAGGCAGACCAATTTCCCCCCTGCAAACTTTATGCCATTTTTTTCCCTTATATTTTTGTTAGGACCTCCACTGTATC